TTATATTTGCCCCTCTCACTACCAAGTGGCTCTACCATCAATTTTAGGTATCTTTTATTGATTTCTCAATTGACCATTCATATTTTTAAGTTATAATTAAAAATCATAATTTATTATTAAGATTTTAGTAATTTAAAATTTAAAATTATTATTAATGTTATGAAATTCTTAATTATTATTTTTCTCAAATTCAATTGACTTGTCCTGGTATCAAGGGTTTGGGAACTTGGACGTTCCGTGCTTTTTCTTTTTTTATTTTTAATCGATGACACACCCTATCTTTTCTCTAGAGGATAGTCATGCTCGTATCTTTTTACTATTTGCTTCAATTTTATTTAGTTCAAAATTTGCAACATTTCTTATTTGAAGGTTTGGTTTCAGATCGATCAATAAGCTAGTTGGATTATCAAGCCATTTGGTTAACACTCCTGTAATTTAATGGATAATATTTTTCGCACCAAGGCTAAACAAAGAATTATCATTATAAGAAATAAATAAATACTTCCTTGCATAAAAATAACTTTTTAGGAAGACTTATGATCATTTCTATTATAATTCACGTTACATAAAATATAGACTATCAATTTTTTTTAATGTTACGCTTTGACAATTTTTATGAGTAAATTAAAAGATTAAATTTGAGGGAAAAAATAGTTTTAAAGATAATCTATTTAATGAAGATAAATTAAAAAAGTTTCTTAAAAAATTGCTACTATGTCTCTCCTTAGAACCAAAATTGTGCTCGAAGATCAAATGATCAGGGTGCAAACGAATAAGTCTAGGGTGAAAGCAGATAACCATGAAGCCCTAAACTTATCTGCTTACACCCTAATCTTTTATTCTCTAGCACAATTTCAATCTTAAGGAGGGACCTACCAGCAATTTTTTTAAGCTTCTTTCTCTTTTGTGGAAATACAAATAAGGGTTAAAGTGCAAATCCACCTCCAAAGTTTTTCTTAAGATATAATTGGTATCTTTAAGTATTTTCAAGCACAATATTCCCCTTAATGTAATTAAAATGTAGCAATTCTGACCTAAGCTAATAGGGTTGATAATGTTGACCATGAAATTGCTTATTTTTGATAGTTTCTTGTTTTGCTAGATTTCCACAACACCACTCGATCACCAACACTCGTTTATTCTTCTTCTTCTTCTAGTTTTTTTAGAATTCATTGACCATGAGACCACTTCCATTGTTGCCACCTCATATCAATGTTCTTCTTCTTAATCTCACCCCGTCACAGCCTCTCTCTCCCTTTCTGAAGCTTGCATCTACTTTCTTCTTCTTTCCAATCTCATCTTGCCACAGCCCCTCTTTGAAGCTCACTTCTTCTTCCTAATCTCACCTCACCGCTGCCTCTTTTACCTCTTTAAAGCTCATCTCTAGTTTACCTCTCTCCTTATTTAAACCTCACATCACTTACCCTTCACTCCAAGCTCATGTCCACCAATTGTGTCTTGTGTGTTTTTGCCTCAAAAAAGAAGAAGAGTCTCCTAGCATTGCATCCATTCATCATCAACCACATACCGCCTTCTGAGTTTCAAGCTATATCCTCCCTCGACTTTAGTTTCTCTCAAATGAAGAAAATATTCTTGAAGCAATATGGTTCAATTTCATTATTTTTTACTTCTTGATTTCACAAAGCAATATGCCCATCATTTTCTGATTTCATCATTTCTAGTTTCTTGATTTGTTAGGTATGTATTAGGGGTGTTTAATTTGGACCCGTCTCGATTAGCCCGGTATTATCCCGATCATATCGGGATTAGTCTTGTCCCAGCTCAAAAATAATCGAGACGAGACTTTATAAGACGGGATGGGAAAAGGGTTCAAAATGGGACGGGATATGGGATTATCATCAGGACGTCCCGTTCTGTCCTGAATATTATATATACATTATTTTTTATTTTAAATATATTAATTATATTAATATAATTTATACTTATATTAATTATATCAATTATAATTTTAATACTTATAATTCTTATTTAAAACTAAAGTTTTTTTATATTGATAATTTTAATGACATTGAGTAAACATCGTGATATCTTTTTTATAATATATTAATTATATTAATATAATTTATTATTATATCTATCTATTTAATAACTTTTATTTATAATATATTTCTTACTTTATTTTTAGAAGAGTAATTAGCTTAATACATCTCCACTAAAGTAGAAAAATAATGATTTAATGTTGTGCTTGACTTGCCTGTTGTTGCTACTCTTATAGCCTAAAGATCACTCGTATTTGCTATTATAATGTGTAGTTGTGATTAATATAATTCAATAATTGACTTTAAATTATTATAATTTATGTACTTGTGTTTTTTAATTTTAAACTTAATAAATTATATGATTTAAAATTTTAATGAACATTATTATTCAGATTTTTTTTAATATTATTCGATTTATTGGGATGGCGAGACGCCCCAATTTTATTCCGGTCCTGTCCCAACTTTTAATAGGACGGAATGACTTTCGGGACAGGACAAGACAGGACACGAGACCAAAATTCAATTCTGATTTTTTTTTCGGGACGGGACACGAGACGGGGGTGTCCCAATCTCATCCTGTCCTGTGAACACCCTTAATATGTATTGTTGGTTCTTGAGTTGGGTCCTCCAAGAAAATATATCACTATTATTTTTTCCTTCTTCATCATTTTCTTCTTGATTTTCTGGGTGTTGTTTCCTAATTATTTGTTGGGTATTGTTGTTTCTTGAATTTAAGCTTAAGGAAAAGCAAAAGAACAAGGGTCACTTTGTTCGGTTGTTGTAGAATATCAAAGCGGGCCTCTTCAACCTCCTTTCGGGCATTGTTTTTGCATTATTGATTTGTTGGCTATGTATGCAGGCGGGCGCGAGGGTCTCCATTTTTTTTACCATCCTTTTCTCATCCATTTCCATAAACCGACCCCATTTGGATGGCTAAAAAAAATATTGAAACCAACAAGAGAGAGGATCTCTCACTACTATCCGTCTTCCACACGCACGACTGATCTTCTTCTTCTTCTTCCTAGTTAAGAAGAGAAGGTAACTAAAGAAAGGACCCCCTCTCTCTCCTTAGGTACACGACTCTACTCCTCCTCCACTTCCCATACACCTGCTTAAAGATTGAGTATATATTTCTTATTAAGATTAATTGAACAAATAGTGAGTAGAACAATTGAAAGAAAAGAACTTGTATATTAGTCTCTGCCTTTTTGTCAATGAAATCAAACCAGAATCTAGCTTGAGCTCGCTTGTAAAGAGCTAAAGGAAAAAAAGTAAAGCTTTGTCTTTTCAAACCTGATCAATGTACAACATGATAATGGCAAATTCGCACATGGGCTTGCCATTAAGGATTAGAACTGGATTTTTCTTGTGAATCAGGTTTGTTTGCAGAAGCAGAGGGCTCTTGTCCCTCAGATTCTCTTCCTTGTACTCGTACTCCACAACCTTCTCTTCTAAAGCAATCTTAGCCCTCATTCCAAACATTCTTGCCCATGTATCTAGCAGAATTACCCCCCTCTGCCATTATTTAGCTCGATCCTATTTCGTTTGAACATGTCAGAGCTAGAGATCCTTCAATGAATTAGAAAAAATCCAAGGATCAAGAAACAAATTATTGGCTAATTAAGTGTGCTTGATAGGTGATGAAGATAAGCTTGGCAATAAAATCAAAACACACATATTAGTTGAATCTAGGAAGAAGAAGGAGAGTGGTGCTGCCGAGAGGGAGACGACAGGTAGCGAGAGATCCTTTCTTTAGTTGCTTTCGATATTTTTTTGTCTAAAACAATACAAACGGCATCGTTTTGTGGAAATGGAGGAGAAAAGGATGGTAAAGGAGTGGAGAGACCCTACACCCGCATACAGGCACTGGGAGTACAGAATTTGATAGGAGAGGGGTCTCTTCATTTTTTTTCCTCCATTTCTCCAATCCCTACCATTCAAATTATTTTATTAAATAATTTTTTTAAATGATAAAATTAATGAATGGTAGAGATGAGAAAATGGAGGGAAATAGGGAGAAAAGAAATGAAAAGATCCAAATCCGAATTTGACAAGCACAGGGTGGAGAAAGGTCTTTTTTTAAAAAAAAAAAGAATATGTGAACTGGATGCCACATGGACCTGTCATATCAACACAAAAAATCAATTAATAGTCAACATTTTGCTTCTGTCATCTTAAGACAACATTATACCAACATTATACAGTACTAAAAAAAATGTCGGAGGCAACGTTACACCTTTTAATGCTTAAGAATACTAGCTACACCTCAAGAAAAATTTTGGAAACAGATTTGCTGTTTAACCCTATAAATAATTTAACAATCTTTTTCTTAGTTTTATGAATTATTTAAAAGTGATTTTTATATATAAAATCTGAGTATAGGGTAGATAAAAAAGAAAGAGAGAAAAGTATAAAAGATCAAATGGAGACACGTGTTTCCTTGCTTAAACTCTCTTCGATCAAATGCAATTTGTCCAGCTACTTGAAGTTAGTCCTCGTTTGATTATTTTCAACATGGAAGATGCTCTGCTTAATTACACGAAAAACTTTGATCTATTTCCCATTGTGAGGGTGGCTGCTTTTGATTTTCAAACTTCTAATAGTACCCATTCCTCCAATGCTCAAGGGGGTCTTTTTTAAAAAAGCAGCCACCCTCACAACACTTTCATATCTAACTGTTCACTTTCTTTTCCGTCAAATCAAATTAAAAAAAAAAGTTCTATTTCCTTTATTAAAATATTGATTTAACATTTAAAATGTAATTATTTAAACAATAGCTGTTACCCCCTCCTTTTCGTTGTTCAACGTTGGCTAGCTACAACTTCAAACAAACAAGCTCGGACCCATCAAACTTCACTTCACGTCGTCAACTTTCAGCAACATTTTAGTCCAATATATATACATATTTTAGACTTGCAAATTTGTCTGTACTGTCTCTACCAACTTCCCTCAACCTACCCTTTATATTTTAATCCATACATCAACACTCTTATTTGTAGTCCAAGTAATACAGATCACCCCACTACTTCCTTCCTTCTTCCTCCTTTATTTATTTTCTGCAAACTCTGTACGCAACAACAAGAAGAGATCCTCTTTAAGAGGCTCCCTAAACTTCATTGAAGTAGATTCTAAGTTTCTAACCCTAATAAGGATCACAGAACAGAGGGGTAAGAAAATGGCCAAAAGCAAGGTTTTGATTGTGGGAGGAACGGGGTATATTGGGAGGAGGATAGTGAAGGCGAGTCTGGCTCTTGGCCATGAGACCTATGTTGTTCAACGACCTGAGTTAGGGCTTCAAATTGAGAAGCTTCAGATGTTGCTCTCCTTCAAGAAGCAAGGTGCTCGTCTCGTTCAGGCCTCCTTCTCTGATCACCGGAGCCTCGTCGACGCCGTCAAGCAGGTTGATGTTGTCATCAGCGCCGTCTCCGGCGTCCATTTCCGGAGCCATAGCATTCTGTTGCAGCTCAAGCTCGTCGAGGCCATCAAAGAAGCTGGAAATGTTAAGGTATTACTTTGTATGATCCTTTGATCCGTCTTTTGTTCCTTCAATTGCTTCTTTCATTTGAGTCCGTCGCGTTGACTTTTTTGTGTTTTAAGATTAGGACCAGTCTGTGGATTAAGATGTAAAGGTTAATTAAATCGACAAATTGAACTAAAACTGAATTGTTTTTTTGGCACAGTTTTCTGGTCTCCCATGATTTGTCAAATTTTAATAGGAATTTCCGAAACTTGAAGCCATTGAAAACCGAAACCGAATCAACCTGACCAGTAGAACATCGTTAATATTCTCTTGATTGATTCAATAAAATGTTTTATTTAGACCGGATTGATCACAATTTTGACTTTTAATTTTTGAATCAGTTTTTTCTTGAAACAAAAGGGAGGGCATTTGACGCTGGACTTCCATTGTATGCCTACCATCTTCTTCTTCTTCTTCTTCTTCTTCTTGTTTTTTTTTTTTTTTTACCTTTTTGGTTTTGGCCTGAAAATATACCTACTGTACCATGATTGAGTGATTGACTACTTTTCTCGAATAGATGTTAAACTAATTAGCTAGCGAAATTCACCTAAACTTGATAAAGATTCAATAACATAATAAGAAACAGAACAGAGCATGATATGAATATTTCTAGCTCAAAGAATGTGAATTTTGTTGATTGACCATCACTAACAAACCAAAAGGTCTGGAGCTTTACTCTACCATGGCTGAAACATTTCATTAGGCCAATTTTTTCCCAATTTGACTTAATTCATAGTGTTCTTTTGTTCTGCAGAACATATTTAGAGAGCAAAATCAGGCAATTCTATCATTACTGAACAATATTACATTGTTCTCTCATTCTCTTTATTTTATTTTTATTTTTTATTCCTTGTAGCGTTTCTTGCCTTCAGAATTTGGACTAGACCCTGGTCGTATGGGACATGCTCTGGAACCAGGAAGAGTGACATTTGATGACAAAATGACGGTAAGAAAAGCAATAGAGGAAGCTAATATCCCTTATACTTACATCTCCGCGAACCTGTTCGCCGGTTACTTCGCTGGCAGCCTCTCTCAGATGGGCTCATTTGTCCCTCCAAGAGACAAGGTTCATCTATTTGGGGATGGCAACCTCAAAGGTAACTCATAAAACCTGGATTGCTTCCATTCCGTGTCAAAATTTGCGGTATGACAGTTAAGGTTGTCCACAGAAATTGCTCAAAACTAAACTAAATCCTTAAAGAACGGAAACTAGTGTTATGTCAGCAGCATCTTACTGAGTTATTCTGAAACTCTATGAATGCAGCTGTGTTTATGGATGAGGATGATGTTGCAACATATACCATAAAAGCCATAGACGACCCTCGAACACTAAACAAAACACTGTACTTAAGGCCACCAGAGAACATTCTTTCCCAAAGAGAGCTTATTGGAATTTGGGAGAAACTCATTAGAAAGGAACTAGAGAAGACATACATATCTGCAGAAGGCTTCCTTACCACCTTGAAAGGTAAAACAAAAAATCTGATTCTGTGTTCACATTGATCTTAAAAGGTGACATTCTCATGAAGCAGTTTTTTTCTTATTGGTATGAGTTTTTTTCATTTGCAGGCCTGGATTATAAACTCCAAGTTGGAATTGGACATTTCTATCATATTTTCTATGAGGGCTGTTTAACAGATTTTGAAATTGGTGAAGAGGGAGAAGAAGCTTCAAAGCTTTATCCTGAGGTTAATTACACACGCATGGATGAGTACCTGAGGATCTATGTGTAAAATAAATTGATTTCACAAGAGTTCAGTGTGATAAATTAAACCATGATTATCAGCTAAAATAACCTTACTTTGAGAGATTTTTGCAGAACAAGGTCTTTCTCATATCTTGGGGTTCGCCTAGCGGTTTTCCTGTACAAGTATATCAGTAATGTAGTGTGCTTAATGTATCATCACCCCCTTTTTTTATTAACTTCTTTATAATAATAATAATAACGACGAAAAGACCATTCTTATTTGCAGAAATTAGACCTGGGACTGTAACCCGTTCACCAGAAGCTTTTGATCCTATTTTTCTTCTCTCCCTTTCTCCTTTTAAAATTAGACAAAGCAGAGTTGAAACCTATGAATTGAGCTCTTGATGCTTCTAAATTCTATATAAACTATCCTCGAGAAAGGCACTTCAAGGCTCTCTCATATTCAATAGATTACGTTTTTTTGTCAAGAACTTGTAATGTAAGTGACATCTCCTTATTCCTTAAAACAAGTTTGAGTTTTAACAGCATAGTCGAAGTTGATTTAATTTCTTACAACCTAAGCCAAAAAGTGATAAGATTTTCTTTCTAATTTTTTCTCTCTATTTTGTCCTTCAGTTTTCTTTTCTCTTAACTTTCTCGGCATCCAAAGCAGATGGTAAATATGGGAGCCTTTTTTTTTAAAAAAAAAAAATCTAATTCACATATATCAAGGGAAAAAAAGTTAAGTAATTAGTTTTTTGTAATTAATGTGTCAATAATTTATGATATTTTTCATAAAACACCCTTTTCCATTTAATTGAATTATTGACTTTTAATCATTTAAATTTGCAAAATTACACATTAAGTAAGAGTGCAATAAAAAATAAGCACAAAAGTACATTGTTGATCCTTTAATTTTACACAAGTTATGATTTTGATTTCTTAGTATTATAAAGTATTTTTTTAATCCTCTAACTCTCATACCATTATTTTTGCTAACAAAAAAACTACTGACATTAAATTTTTAAATATTAACATATTAAATTTAATATTTTTTAAAATAACAATAATTAACAGAAAATTATCATTTTAGATTAATAGTATTAATATTATAGAACTTAAAAGATATTTAATAAAACTAAAGATTAAAACTACAATTTTACATAAAATTATAAAGTTAAAAGATTAAATGTGTAGTTTATTAAAAAAAAAATAATGTGATAGACACAGGCGTGTGCAATTTTTAGTCCACTAGAAGCAAAACAAAATATTCCTGGACATGGTGATATATTTAAAATGGGAGGATTTGGTAACGAACATAATTACAACTGGAAGTGATTAACTGGCAAGGTGAAGAATCCTAAGTTCTGCTTTCTGTTCTTTTGAGATTTACACAAACTCATTCCAATCCCATGGCTGACTATCCAATGTCCTCCATCTATCACACCATATATTCATTTCATATCTTTAGTTATTCGCTAATTAACACAACAAGATTGCTACGTGTGCTGTGGTGTGTGGCTGTGGGTGTATCTTAGTAATAAATTAAATTACCCTTTCGCTAAGAATCGTTGGCTTTGCATGAACATAAAATATTTTTATAACTTGTAAATTTATCTTAAATAAAATTTTAAATTCCCCTCTCAGTGATTTATATATGTGTATGTATGTTTAGTTCTTTACGATAGTCAAAAAGCCTGTAGAAACTGATGCCTCTATAGACTATTATATTGTTAAAGACGTTAATTAATTTAATGAGAATGATATAGAAAATGCCACAATGATTGAATAGCAGAACAAGAATTAACTCAGGTTCATAATTGACGTCCATTATTATGCCATATGAGAGGGGGGGGGGAATTGCAGGGATAATAAAACAAAAGGCAAGCAACACTGAACAAACTAATTAATATACGTGGATACTTCCGCCAAACAAGGCGTATTCATGGCCTCGAAACTTTCGTTAAAATCGGTTTCTCTCTGCATTGTGCAGAACTGACCACCCAGCACACAGTACTTTTTCCCTCTCACCGTCTTCTTCCCTCCTCCATCCACCAGCCACCGCCTCGTTTCCTTCAGCGAGTAAAAGACACGCGCCTCCGCCATGAAAGAAGTGACGGTGGAAGCTGAAAATGGCCACGGCGGCGCTTATTCTTCCGCAGGCTCACGCGGCGTGGTGAGACGAGGCGGAGGAGACGATTGTGGGGGATCATACCAAGTAATGGAAGATAAGCCTTCAAAGTTTGAAGTTATGGGATGGTATGTCTACGAGTTGTGCTCCTACTTCATCCAAACAGTTCTGATTCCACTTGTTTTCCCTCTCATTATCAGTCAGTTACAGCACCTTCCTTCCAACCCAGACCCGGTTCAAGACTGGCACTTTCACCACCCTGGTTTAACCTGCCCAGACAAAGAAATTCACCTGTAAGTAATTCTCTTTTTTATTGTTACCTTTTTTTTTTTTTGCACATATATATCCTTGAAGAGCTCATACACTAAACATGGACACAAGTTGGACTCCGAATTTTAATTCATCACGTTAAAATAAAATAATCCTTTCTGTTACTTAACTTCTTTAGTTAATTATTTTTTATTTTAAAACTATAGATGTACGAGTTTGTTTACACTTTGAGTAAATTTAAGCTGGCATAGAAAAATGTGCATTCGATATGAAAGCAAGTTTAATAAGTACTCCTTCTGGTTTGATTTAAACTATATGAAAGATGCAATAGTTAAATTATGTTTTTAACACCATCTCTTCTTACTTGCATCAAATTATTAACAAATTCTTAATTTCTGAACACATTTTACTGGGGTAATTAATTTCAATGAAAAAATCAAGAGCAATTGATTAGATTGGTCGAGAGAGTAAAATTAGACACACACATATAGGTCCAAATTAGTCTGAGTAGAAATATCAATATATATGCCCCATGTTTCCCATTTCAATGAAAAACGGAACTGAAAAATTAAATATTTTTATAGGTAGTTCAAAGATAATAACTTATCATTATTTGAGAACTGTAAAATTAGTTATAATCACTGAAAGAAGTAATATACAATGATCGGAGGAAGGAAACATAGATTCTAGGGTGGGTTTTCCGGTTCGATCTTAAAAGGCATGATCATCTGTGCATTCAGCTTCGATCGAACCATGAAAAGTTGTGTTTTTTTTGGGACGATGCGGTCTGCTTTTCCAACATTTTTCCTTCATACTCAAACAGTTCATGAGAGATTCCTTTTCAAACTCTCATGCACCTTCTTGCTTTATTCAATTCTCATTTAATTATGATTGGATTAGAACTACATTTATTAGCAGCTGACATGGTCTTGCAATTCTGTGGCTGGCTTTTACTAGTGTTGGAGCCTTATTCAGAAAAATTACCCAGAAGGGTTTAAATTTTCCAGACAAGCAAGAGTGGGGAAAACGCACCTATGTACCTTCGTTCCATCAACTCATCATAATGATCTCTGTTCACTAACAACAATGCTATCTCTCATGTCTTGCGCTTCACGTTTATTAAAAACCCGACAGTAATTAACTACATATATAGATGCTCTCTCTGGGAATTGTAAACTTGTTTGTCGGATTCCAACCTAAAAGTCATCGCCTTTTGATTAAGATATTCGATAACTTATCCTCATAGGTTAAAAAGCTTCACACATATGGCGATCAATTATTTGTCAATTACTATAATACTATATGCAGAAAATCTGCAGACTCCCACTTTGAAGTTTTGAATGTTGACCGAAATTAAATTATCACCTGTGCCACCTGGTTTATTATTTTGACTGGTTTACATGTGTATAATATCTATATCCATAATATTCTAAAAAATTGAGTTAATCCGATTTCATCACGATTGGACTGTGATTTTAATAATTAAATTCCTAACAGTGCTGCTGGTAAAAAAAATCAATGTTTTAACTATTTCAATAACTGGTCAAATACTTTAATAATATATCTATGTGATTAGTTTATAGTACACTGTAAATATAGGTATTTGTATTACCTGTTTTTTTAAGTTTCTGATCAAAATGTGCGGTGCTTCTTAAGTACTACCGAACACTGGAATAGGTAATGAATTAATTTGTTACTGACATGCAAAGTTGGTGATCATAATTGCAGCTACAGGAAGCTCACACAGAGAACAATTAGTGTGAGTGGTTCTCATTTCTCTTCTTTGGAATGGACCTCAATAGCATGGGCTAGTGGTCTGGCCATGGCGGCTCCGATCCTTGGCTTCGTTTCCTATCATCTCGACCGGAACCTTCATCCCATCATTGCAGCTGCGGCCACCGGCGTCGGAGCTCTCTTCTGCCTCCCCGCAGGATTCTTCAAGATCACCAAGATCTTCATCCCTTACATCGCCGGCATTGTCGCGGCCAGCACCGTAGCCGGTGCGGCTCACAATCATCATCTCGGCCTCATGGTTCATGCCTTTACGGGTCCCTTCCTTACCAAACCTCAATACCGCATTCGCCAAGCTATTTCTCACCGTCTTTCCCTGTACTCCGCAGCAATCGGATCCGTCGGCGCTGCCATCATCTCCGCCTTTACCTACCACATGCTGGACGAGCCTAACGAGCATGAGTTCATTAGCCTATGGATTGTGTCGATCTTCAGTGGCCTGTTATGGCTTGTCGGCGTCTTACACGTCTACACATCCTCGAACAGAGCAGCCTCCTCTCTTCCTCCGCCTTCAAAGTTTCACCCTTTTTCGATTCTCAAATACCCCCACGCCATCGGAGGCCTCGCCGGTGTCTTTCTCTCTTCGTTCACCACCATGTGCATTTTCATAGGAGGAGTGATCTTCATCGTGGGTCAGCAGTGCATCAAGCCGCTTCACTTGCTGTTCCTCTGGCTGACTTACTTCCTCTTCCCTCTGCTTTCTCTGCCATTACTCCAACCTTTTCAACATCTGATAAGAATCGACGCCGTGAGAATGCAGATCCTGGGGTTTCTGCTATCCATCTTCTCTTCTGGGTTTGGCTTCTTCTACAATGATAATCCTTGGAAATGGGGTTACTTGCTGATATTCGGCGCGATACAGGGAACATCGGCGGGTGTACTGCACGCTTCCGGGAGGATACTAGTGATGGAGTGTGCGCCGGCGGGGAAAGAAGGTGCGTTCGCGATATGGTTGTCGTGGTTGAGAGCCGCCGGATTGTGTGCAGGCTTAACGGTGGGTTCGGTGGTTCCTGCTCGCAGGATACGAACTTCGTTCGGGTCAGCGTTTTGCGGTGCGCTTGTGGGGATATTGGGTCTGCTTTTCAGCAAGGTGAGTGACGTCGGAGGAGCGGTGGCGGCCGGGCATGTG